GTTTCTGTCGCCAGTCGGATTTCATCCTGCCACATCTTGGTGAGACGCTCCTGCTAGTGCACGCCTTTGAAGGTCTTATTAGAAGCATTGGCAGTGATCGATGGGAATGAGAAATGTGCCCCCCCCCGCTGAGCAGAATCGGACCGGAAATTCACACTGAAATCGAAGCTTTTCCTTTGTTAAATAGGAAAACATTGCTCTCAAGTTCGAGAGTGAGGCGATACCTAATAAAAAAGCCTTCTACTGGGCTATAATGAGTTTTGTTGGAGGGACAGACTGCAGTACAGGTGGGCGGGGAGGGGGGGGTTGTTCTTACTCTCGAACGACGTTTCTGCCTTCTGTAACGGAACGATGTCTTTCACTCGCTCAAAAACTTGCTTTATTTCGTCTAGTTTACAGCATTCGATCTGCTCAAGTTTTAGATCAATGATCAAAAAAACATTTTCAGTTGTAACCACTCGTGGAGACCTTGAGCACTACGTTGATAGCGACAGGATGCCATTCTGGACTAATCAGGTATGGATTTGCTTGAAACAGTTTACGACACATTCCGGGCTCACCGTGTGAGAGGGCAGGCCTTAGACTGGCTATCGGGGGTCGTATTTGGTTGAGAGAGAGGGGGTAGCAATCGGCCACAGGAAAGCTCTCTTTTTCATAGTCGATCTTCCCTATTTCGCGCGCAGTCGCACAATCAACAATGTTGGGAGACTCCCATGGGGGGGGGGGGAGGAGTATGACCTTAAGAAAATTCTCCACGCGCGCGAGAAATTTTATCCAGCTTTTCACTTTTAGCGGCGGTTTCTCCCGTCTTACGTTTGCCAGGCTACATATCACCCCGCCACCTAGTTGTCGGGGCAGCCAATTCCCATTGCAGCCAATTCCCATTCAACTACCGTTTTCGATGACTGATTCTAGGGGTTGAGTGAATGCGCCACTGCTCAACCTTCTCCCATTTAGACGGCATTTTTGTGGAAAAGGTGGTAAATTTTCGGAAAATTGAGAAAAAGTGGTAGGACGTGGGGGAAAGTCCGTAAGGTAGGTAGGGTGCGGATGGGGGTCGTATTTTGCAGAATTTTTACCATCTACAAGACGTGCTCTGTTGAAGGATGCTGCGGTCGTCATAAGCCGCAGAAACGCCTCCTGTAGGAATTACCTACCTAGTGTGCGCTGATAGTGCGATATGACAGCGCTGTTTTATTTTTACATACACGATTGTGAACGTGTTGCGTTTATTTCCGCATGGGACCTTTTCTGCGTATTTTCCATCGGAGCTCCTATATGGGCAACAGGGTAGGGGGATGGTGGTATTGCTCCGAAAAATTGGAGGATTGATCCGGAAAAGTGATAGGCGCCTGGGGAGAACGTAGGATGGTGGTAGGTAAGACGGGGATTGTAAGTGGGAGGAGAGCGAATATAAGTGGTGGGAGTTTCGTGATGCGAAGGCTCGTGTTTTGCAAATTTTTTCCCAACGACGGGGCGTGTTCTGCTTTGCATCGCTCTATGAAATATTCTGGACACATGGGTTTTTGCACGGGACCCAGAACGTGGTACTTGGTTGCTCTATACTAATGGCAAGCAGTAAACAGGACCCCCTTCTTTGTGCGAGCGTGATTGTGAAGTAAAGCATTTTACACATTCAAGACATTTTTTAGCTTTTTTAGTACAATATCTGGTTTATATAGAGAGATATTGTTCTAGGATACTCGCAATGCCATGGTAGCGACAATGATTCCAGGCGGTGCTGCCATCGCAGCATTTGCCCTTTTTGCAAGAGACAAGGAAACTGTTGACTGGTGGTCTAATGTAAGTGTTTGCGGTCTTTTTTTAGGGTTTTCAACCGTTCTTACCTTAAGTGCACACTGGGGCGCGTGACATACGTGCGCAGTATATATCTGGAATTTCATACGATTCGAGCATTATTTTACAAAGTCGGAACACGTTTTCGACCACAGAAGATCTATGTTTCATATGGAATCGTTAGATAGAAGTACTTGTTGTTGCCATAAGTAGCGATGAAATTATGCGAAGATGGTCGCAGTACCAAAGTAAGGTGGCGCAGTTCGGCTTGGTGGGGGCATTTAGCTGGTTCTCATCAATCATTGCCGAGGGAGACCTGTAAACTCTTGTGGAGCCATGCAACAGCGCGATTCTGTTCACTTTTGACAAGAGCTTAAACAGCCTCACTGGGTTGAGACCGGTAAGTTGTCCAAAGCTAGTGAAAGTGAATGGCGAATGTAAGAAATGTCGCCACTCCCATAGCCGTACAACGCCGTATTTCCTAAATCCGGAGCACAAGATTTCAACATTTCATTTTTGAAGAACATTTGATTTAGTTCGCATGAGCTTTTAGTGAGCGCTTATTTTTTTTTAGGTAGTAAAGAAACCAGACTGGGCTCCAACCGACGTACGGTTGTATTCCGTGATGGACATACTGGCGTTGTCGCCTCTTGGGTATGCTTCCTACCTTGTGTACAAAAGCGGAGGTTCGTTGTTTTCCTTGTCCTTTTTTTCTACCGTCAATTAAAAAGTAGAGAGCTTGCAGTTTGTCCAGGTTTCGATTACACTGACACTCGCCTAGCTTTGGGTCTTTATGGAGCGAACATGGCGCTCGCACTGACAACTATTCCGCTTGTCAAGAAGAAGAATCTCAGTCTTGTGAGTATTTGCACAGTGTTATAGGTTCGCAAGAACTGACGGTATACAGTAACTTCTAAAATAGCGCGTCAAATTAATTGTGTCGCCTTTGTGAGCGCGTACAGTTGGCATACCGTGAGCCGGTTTACTTAGGTGTGAGGTACTTCCATCAGCCTGTGCTATATGCATTTTTTAAGGCTTGGGTGATGTACATTTCATTTAAGACATTTGCTCGGTGTGCGAGGGGGGGGGGGGGGTGACAGTACTTTAGCCAACTAGATGTTCTCTCTCTGCGAGAGTCCAGGACAATTCCCTCATGACTTTTCCAGTGAGCTTCTGTAGGGGGAAAGGGTTATGAAGATGGAATAGAGAAGGAAGGAAAGGAGGGAGGAGGAAACAAAGGTAAGAAGAAAGGCATATACCTGGAGACCGGGGAAGGAGAGCAAGATCCGGGGTGATGCCAAGAAGCGAGATCTACGCCAATTCAGCTCTATCTGTAGCTAGGTGTCGACTATGTGAAAACTGGGAGTACTATGTGCACTCGCCGCTCCTGCGCTCAATTTTACGAGCAGTGGGGATACTGTATCCGGCCAGTTCACTTAAACTTATAATTTAGCGTTAGTTGCTGTCTTGCTCTTTCCTTCATGTTGGGAAGCTTTAAGTGTTTGTTTAGTTGTGGAAGAATACTCTGCTTGTCCACTTGACTGCTGCTGGTGCTGCTTACGCATTTTACAAGGTCTGCACAACTTTTAGTTGGCAATTAATTGTAATAGCACGATTGCTGGGGACGGGCGTTGTCGCCAGCGGTGGAAGGTCACTGATAGAAAGGCTGAGTGGGGTGTGCTAAAACGCCCTCTCGCAGCCAATCCACCAATGACGGCGGCAGTAGTCGCCCGCCTCCAGCGTGCCCATTGCCTTTAATTCAACCCAATTGTTGCAGATCGACAAACAAGCAGGAATGTGGATGATTCCTTACGCGGTGTGGACTGGCTTTTATGCTTTCCTGACCTGTTCGATTGATAAGGAAAACCAAGATTATCAAGGACATCTAGATCGGCTGATATTGAACTTATTTTGCTCGTTTTCATTTTGCTATGATTTTACTGACCATTCTATTGACGACGCATATTCTACATTTGTTTACTAACAAGTTCGTTCCCTTGTACATAAGCATTTGTGCTATGCTTAGATTTTAGAGCAGTTGTAACGTTTTTACGCTTTACAAGTTATCAGTCTACAAGAATAGGACGTCTTAGTGTGAATATACTTGTTTTATCGCTTGAATGAAATTTTAGCCTCATCGGTCTTCACCTCATCAAATCAGCGTTTTTTCGTTTAGCTATTTTCCATCTCTTGCCCTGGTAGGTTCCCTTTTGTTATCAAGCGTCCTCTTCAGGTAGGCTCCAACTAATGAGCTTCATTTATCGTAAGGTTAGTACGGCTAGTCATCTAAACGTTCATTTTTCAAGTATTCATCTGTTCCTGTTGGTTAGGTTGGGATATTGGCGAACGTTTGTCATATCAATGGTAAACGTCCTGTTGGAGCACCACTGACCGCTGGGTATCCTATATACTGATGGAAAGCGTACTAGTCGCGTGGCAGAGACGGAGAGACTTTCTTAGCTAGTTGACGTAAGATACACATTAAGACGAGAGTCGAGACGCGTGATACCGATGTCATGTTACAGTGGAGCGCTCACCGGACGGTGGGGCGTTCCCTACGACCACGCCGGCGAGCGTTCCGCTGATTGCGTGTAGATGGAAAGCCGAGAAATTCCAGGAAATCATCATCATTGCCCCTGCGTCTCTGACACAGACTCTGCGCTCTAACACACCCCGCCGCGCCCTCTACTCACTCTTCCTCCTGCGCTCTCGCCGATCAATACTGGCTGACGCTGTCGATCAGCTGATTCGCGCCGCATTTTCTCCAAATCCCTGCCGTATTCTGCTTGAAAAAACTGCGATTTTTCGACTTTCGACTTCAATCGTTGAAGGTAAGTATTCTTACTAAAATTTTATCACAGTTTGCATGAAATTAGCTTGAAATTCCCCTAGAAAACATTTTTTCCCTTCTGATTTTCTCAATTCTCCCAAACTTTTCCTTATTTTCCCCACTTCTTTTATGTTATTGACCGGGTTTTCGAAGTAGAGTCTTAGATGTGATCTCGTTATTATCGAGAACCATCTCTGACTCTATTCTGAAGCTCGAAGTCGCCTGTGAAGAAATGTGAATAAGTGAAGAAAATCAGAAGGAAAAAATGCTTTCTAGGGGAGTTCCAAGCTAAATTCATGCATGTTATGCAATTTTAGTAAGAATACTCACCGCTAACGATTGAACCCGAAAGTCGAAAAACCTCAGTTTTTCCAAGCTGAATGTAGAAAAATATTTATTTATTGAGACTTCGGGTTTTAGAACAGAGTCAGAGATGGTTCTCGACAATAACGAGATCACATCTAAGACTCTACTTTGAAAACCCGGTCAATAACATAAAAGAAGTGGGGAAAATAAGGAAAAGTTTGGGAGAATTGAGAAAATCAGAAGGGAAAAAAATGTTTTCTAGGGGAATTCAAGCTAATTTCATGCAAACTGTGATAAAATTTTAGTAAGAATACTTACCTTCAACGATTGAAGTCGAAAGTCGAAAAATCGCAGTTTTTTCAAGCAGAATACGGCAGGGATTTGGAGAAAATGCGGCGCGAATCAGCTGATCGACAGCGTCAGCCAGTATTGATCGGCGAGAGCGCAGGACGGAAGAGTGAGTAGAGGGCGCGGCAGGATGTGTTAGAGCGCAGAGTCTGTGTCAGAGACGCAGGGGCAAGGTTATTGCGGCTTTCGACCAACAGGCAAATATCGGGCCGCTAGCCAGCGTGGCCTTAGGACCGCCCCACCGTCCGCTGAGAACTGCACTGTAATGGGTTGGGTCCCGGTGCGAATGCTATGTACGTCACCCCGCTTGTAATGCCTTTTTGCCGCGAGGGAGGTAAGACGCTAATGATTTTGATGGAGAGGACAAGCTTGATGAAATGGTACTAGTGACATTCAGACGCCCTTTTCCAATTTGTCTAAATCGTGTCATTTTGACAAGTTTGTCAGGAGCTACAGTGTGCTTGACGAGTGATAATAAGGCTTACAAGGTGCAAGGCTGTATGCTATGCACATACAGTTCACAGCCCACCCCCCAATATTGTTACCTTAGGAAGTAACGCTCCCCTTAGCTCATGTTTATAAGTTGAGGCAGTTGGCACGATTGTTTTCTACTCGGCCTAAAATGCTAGTAGGGCGCTACGTAGTGGGGAAATGGCGAAAGAACGGAGTGAAACGGTCAAAATCCGGCGAAGAAAAAGCCTCCGTTCTCAGTGACTTGAAAATCGATTTCGGACGAGTTTCCCGTAGGCATCTTGCCAATCACCGCTACCGAAGATACGGCTGCATATGTGTACCCATATATGCATGCAGCATCACGGCCGCTTCATACCAATCCCTTCGCTTCATAATTTGCTTAGCAAATGAATGAATACGAGCGTCAGGAACGGTCGTCCATTTGTGGGCGGGCGTGGGGCGTTTGGGACGTAAAGTTGTGGCTTGATAGGGCCCTTATAAGGGCACCTTCCTCGGGGAAACCGCTATGCAGCGCCTGCCCAGGGTCGCGGAATTCTATCCTGCCAGGAGTATTGATCCTTGTCGCCTTGGGATTTATCATGCCAACTGCCTTTTACGGTGGGGGACGTACTTAATCATGACCTGCAAATTTCGCAGTTTCGCTAGCTATGAGCGTGATCAGCTGATTCACGGCGGTGCTCAAGGCTGGAAGGGTTTTCTTTCTTTCCCGCACGACTATCGATTCGACAGTGACGTTCGCCGTCAAGCATTCTTTGGATGCCACACCAAAAAACTCCGCTTTCTAATACGACTTCGAATGGTCACTGTAAAGTAATACCGATATCTTTCTGTGCAAGTGACCTGCGCTAATGGCTTAGGAGGGGCATCGCTAGTTTCTGTCGCCAGTCGGATTTCATCCTGTACCCACATCTTGGTGAGACCTGTAGACTCTGTTATTAGACAAAGCTCATGCTATTGCACGCCTTTGAAGGTCCTATTAGGAGCATTGGCAGTGATCGATGGGAATCAGAAATGTGCCCCCCCCGCCCCCGCCGAGCAGAATCGGACCGGAATTCACACTGAAATCGAAGCTTTTCCTTTGTTAAATAGGAAAACATTGTTCTCAAGTTCGAGAGTGAGGCGATACCTCGAAAAAAAGCCTTCTACTGGGCTATAATGAGTTTTAGTTGGAGGGACTGCAGTACAGGTGGGCGGGGAGGGGGGGGTTGTTCTTACTCTCGAACGACGTTTCTGCCTTCTGTAACGGAACGATGTCTTTCACTCGCTCAAAAACTTGCTTTATTTCGTCTAGTTTACAGCATTCGATCTGCTCAAGTTTTAGATCAATGATCAAAAAACATTTTCAGTTGTAACCACTCGTGGAGACCTTGAGCACTACGTTGATAGCGACAGGATGCCATTCTGGACTAATCAGGTATGGATTTGCTTGAAAAGTTTACGACACATTCCGGGCTCACCGTGTGAGAGGGCAGGCCTTAGACTGGCTATCCCCAAAGGGGTCGTGTTTGGTCGGGAGAGGAGGTGTAGCAACCGCTCACAGGAAAGCTCTTTTTCTCATAGTCGATCTTCTCTGTTTCGCGCACAGTCGCGCAATCAACAATGTTGAGACTCCCATGGGTCGTATTTTGCAGAATTTTTAACATCTACAGGACGTCTGTTGAAGGATGCTGCAGTCGTCATAAGCCGCAGAAACGCCTCCTGTAGGAATTACCTACCTAGTGTGCGCTGATAGTGCGATGTGACAGCGCTGTTTTATTTTTACATACACGATTGTGAAGGTGTTGCGTTTATTTCCGCATGGGACCTTTTCTGCGTATTTTCTCAGAGCTCCTATATAGTAAATAGTAAATCATTTTCCACAGTATATAGTAAATCATTTTACACATAGACATTTTTTAGCTTTTTTTGGTACAATATCCGGTTTATATACAGAGATATTGTTCTAGGATACTCGCAATGCCATGGTAGCGACAATGATTCCAGGCGGTGCTGCCATCGCAGCATTTGCCCTTTTTGCAAGAGACAAGGAAACTGTTGACTGGTGGTCTAATGTAAGTGTTTGCGGTCTTTTTTTAGGGTTTTCAACCGTTCTTACCTTAAGTGCACACTGGGGCGCGTGACATACGTGCGCAGTATACATCTGGAATTTCATACGATTCGCTTGAGCATTATTTTACAAATGTCAGAACACGTTTTCGACCACAGAAGATCTATGTTTCATATGGAATCGTTAGATAGAAGTACTTGTTGTTGCCATAAGTAGCGATGAAATTATGCGAAGATGGTCGCAGTACCAAAGTAAGGTGGCGCAGTTCGGCTTGGTGGGGGCATTTAGCTGGTTCTCATCAATCATTGCCGAGGGAGACCTGTAAACTCTTGTGGAGCCATGCAACAGCGCGATTCTGTTCACTTTTGACAAGAGCTTAAAGGCCTCACTGGGTTGAGACCGGTAAGTTGTCCAAAGCTAGTGAAAGTGAATGGCGAATGTAAGAAATGTCGCCACTCCCATAGCCGTACAACGCCGTATTTCCTAAATCCGGAGCACAAGATTTCAACATTTCATTTTTGAAGAACATTTGATTTAGTTCGCATGAGCTTTTAGTGAGCGCTTATTTTTTTAGGTAGTAAAGAAACCAGACTGGGCTCCAACCGACGTACGGTTGTATTCCGTGATGGACATACTGGCGTTGTCGCCTCTTGGGTATGCTTCCTACCTTGTGTACAAAAGCGGAGGTTCGTTGTTTTCTTGTCCTTTTTTTTCTACCGTCAATTTAAAAGTAGAGAGCTTGTAATTTATCCAGGTTTCGATTACACTGACACTCGCCTAGCTTTGGGTCTTTATGGAGCGAACATGGCGCTCGCACTGACAACTATTCCGCTTGTCAAGAAGAAGAATCTCGGCTGCGTGGGTATTTGCACAGTGTTACAAGTTTGCGAGAACTGACGATATACAGTAACTTCGAAAATTGCGCGTCAAATTGTCGTCTTTGTGAGCGCGTACAGTTGGCATACCGTGAGCCGGTTTA